TGTTTGAAATGTCATAACATCTTGTAATAGCTTTGGTTTGTCAAATGTATTACTATTAAAAGATCACATTTGACATCTTGATAAGTGATGGCTTGATAGCTAGTGCTTAAAGACATCGATAAAAGTGAATTTATCGATACGGACTAAAACATTGTAACAAAGAATCATTATAACAATAATAATGTAGGTAATCGATATTTGATAACATTTGAAGTCAAAAATAAAAAGTCCGAACACGTGCCTCTGTTACATTTTAGTGAACAAACAACTATACATACTAATCAAATGACACCTATATTTAAATACACTTTAAAAACGCATGCGTTTTCACTAGAGGAGTTAACATTGCGACGAACCTTATCATTCTGACTGAAATAAAAACTGAAACAAACACATTTCACTGTTTCCTTTGCGTAGTACGATAATAGAATATCAACAAATCAAGTAAAGTGGACGTGGAAGTAAAACAATTGATTGTTTTTATAATTGAAGCATTGTTTACATGTTGTGTGAATGTGCGCGTCTCGTGCTCACACTCAGACTGTACCCACTCGGCTGTTACAATGCATTCCTGAGGTTTCTTACAAGTGCCGACGACAGCCGTGTGAGAACTCACTGTGATACTGACACACATACAGCAAACATAAACAAAGCGATCGACTATCGAGACAATAAATGCTCCCAACTGCAAGCTTGGAGAGCTTTATAAAAGTTTGATAGATTTTTCCTGTATATAACGAGATATACTGCTTCAGGAGAGTCAGAGTGTAACTTATCTTAGCTACCCGCTACTGCTGCTCCTTTCCAGTGCCGACCACTGAACTAGAGAGACACAGATGTCAGCTGACAGCAACTTTGTGTTGTATAAACGAACAGTTGTTTTTAATATTTTTATTTTTACATTTACGTTGAAAACCAATTATCCGCTTAATTTAGATCAGTGCTACTGCAAATCGGTTGAATATGACATGACAATAAAAAATAGGCACTATAAAAAGTAAGCCAACTTTGTTCCATCCGGCACAAGGCGAAGAAAAACAGCAGAACGGCAAGGTCAGGGCGCAGCGCGGGGTCGGCACCCGCACCCCTCACCCCGCACCCCACCCTCGCACCCCGCGAATAATAATTTGCAAAAAACATTTGTAGTTTTACATTTTTTTTTGAGGGCAATGACGTGGCGGAGTTGAACGCGGGCGCGAGCTGGTTAAGCACGTTCATTTCCTTTCACTTTAGTTGCGTTATTATTTAACTGTTATAAAGGTATATTGATGCAAGGTCTGATATTTATCTAAAATTTGTTAAAGCAATGTAATGTAAGCGCACATATACATATGTCAGTATCAGTATGTACAGTCACAACCTCCTGCTGCCCACCCACGATCCACAGGCGTCACAATAACAATAAATTACTCGGATTTTGTTTTTCTTCTTTTAATATTTTTGAATCTCTACTAAATATTAAAAATGACAATGTAATAAGTGGAAACCTTGAATTGACTTGTTAGAACTAATCACAAACAGGAATAATAATTTCAAGGTTTTTAATTTGTAAAAGATATTGAATATAATGAAATATGTCACATCATGTTGTCGGATTATCAAAATTATTTGCAAATGTAAGATTTAATAGCTTGTAGTAATAAACAGAGTCAGAGTAAGCAGTGTTAGCTAACCGCCGCCGCACTCACTGACAGACTAAATTATTTACTAATGACATAGTAACTATGTTGTGTTGCACTCAGACGACAGTTGTACCAAGTTGTACCAACTTGTGACATCCACCTCTGCCACTCATCAATCATGTTTCTTGCTTACCACTTAAAGTAACTAAATTGCCTAAATTCAATTTCATATGAAATTATTTACTTCTTACACATTACTTCATACATCGTTAAGGAAACAGATCCTCAAGCTAATGGATAGCTCTCGCCTCTACCTTCCAGCTGTGCTTCACAAACATTCAATAATAGGAACTTATATTTTTGTAATGACCGCAGATTAAATATATTTTTAACCTGAGACATCTTTGTGTCTGTCACCTATCTGATAGACACAAATGTATGAAAATTTACACTAAGTTAAAATATTGGTTTTATTGCTTCACAATGAGCACCAGGTGTGGCGGCGGACGATTTCGTAAACATTGTGAAAAAAGTAATATATTATTATACATTTGTATATTAATTACAAAAAGCATCGACCTCGGAATTAACCGCGAAATTTCACACCATACCAAATTAATAAATATAATCTAAAAGCGTATGCTAATCAACTTAACATAATGTGACCTTATAATTTTTTGTCGAGACATTGCACAAGGCGGCGCAAAGTCCGGTCCCCGGCGGTGCTGGCGGCTCGGCGGCGGCAGAGTTCGCTGTCACACCACGATGTTGTACAACTTCTGTAGTTACTCAATGGCGCTCCTTTACAACCGGAAACTGTCACTTTTCTAAACACATATCTGGGTCGTTGGCAATTCTTAGCTCTTTCCATTTTTACCTTTTTTTTACCTCCTAAAGAACAATCTAGACCAAGCTACATGTAATGTTTCGAACAAAAAAGTTGAATGCGGCAAATTGAATTTAAACTTAACTTAACTGTGTCAAATCTTTCCAAAGTTTTACAAAATGTCCGTTTCAAATTAAAAAGTATTTTATGTTACAAAGCGCACTAATTTGAAGTATCACGAACGACTGATTAAAATAATTTGATCGTAGTAAATTATATTCAAGCAATTTATTAAGTAATTGAGAGCAACACGTTTTATTCAAAATCTCCATACAAATTGTGAGCATGTTTACGTTGCGTTACGTTGTTGCCTTCACTTAGGAAGCTGCAATAAACTCCAATTATTAGAGCGTACATACATTATATTAATTAAATAAAATAATATATATTCTGTCATATATCATATCAACTAATAGCTATTGTAACGTGTATCTTCGACTACTGAGAGTAAGGTCGAGGGGGGGCGGTCCACTCGGACCGTAAACAATTCTCACAGTAAAGTAGTTTCTGAGTTTTATTTTCAAGTTAGATATTACTTTGTCTGCGCTTTGTGACGACTTGCTACCAAAATGTGGCAGTTGACCTGTTGTTTGTTTCGAAGCGACAGTAGTGTCCTCGTAGGGAGCGCGGGCGGCGATACTGAGCCCGCTGCGGCCTCAGCTCGATCCGGTTGTGTCACCACGAGCCGACACATATCGGGCGCAGTTACAACACCGGCGTGACTTAGTCACTCGCCCTCGCTCCGCCTGTCACTCCGATAGGACGTGACCAGAGAACAGCGCTGTCCCACTAGTATTCCATGCCAAAATGTGTCAACTATCAAACTCTTGTAGACCTATCCACAACTCGTTATGCCGAGCAATAGCATTAGTTAGCTGCGAGTTCCAGTGCGCTGCACATGCCGCCGGGTTTTTTACCACACAAGCTTATGTTATGCCCCCCCCCGCATACCCCTTCTCTGTACCCGCCCCAGTCGGTTCACGTGTAACACATAGCATCATGTTCATTGATGTTGACACCAAACATACAGCAATATCACGCCACTTCGCGCATGCACTATCGGTACTGTTTGCTGGCGCGTGCGGGGCGTGTGAGGGAAAGATGCGTGGTGCGTTGCCACGATTGTTGTCACCGTTGCGGTTAGCAGTATAGTTACATAGAATCAAGCACTAAGATCTAGTTCGTCTCGAGTCACTATCTTAATATCCTTGACTAGCTGTTTACATTTTAATATTGCCAGAACTTTTAACATAAAAAGGCGCCAATTCGCGCCCTTTAGTAGGTTCATTACTAACATATCTATTGGTGCGCAGAGGTGGCACTCGTTGACTTACAACACTCACATATGTTATCCGGTGAGAAGACGAAGTTGGAAGCTGAGAGCGCGATTCCACTCATATCGTGCAATGCCTTCGAGCACTTCACTATCTTCTACACTCCACTCCACCCGGGTCGTCAGTGAAAACGCACCCTTACGTCGACGCCGTTCACCCCGCAGGTCGCCTTACGACATATTCCATTGCAAAAACCTTGCGGGTCGTTGCCCTGTCTCGGTTATTGCGCATCACAAACCGATTCATTTCTAACAAACATCGAATTAAAACGATCTTATTTTTTGTCAACTTCAGATTGTCGCCGCAACAATGATCGCTCGGTTCAAACCAATCTGATTCGCTTTAGTTTCTGCGCCAGTAGCCTTACACCATGTGTTGGTATACCAACGAAGAAAGTGAATAATTGAAGAGTTTTTGTGATGAAATATATACCATCTATGGAAACCATAATTAATTTGTTTAGTTACTAATGTTCTAAACTACTATATACTATTATATAAGGTCGCAAGCCGCAAGCCGCAAGCCGCCCGCGGTCGCCCAGAGCTCGGAGTGCTGCGCTCGGTTATGATTTGAATTAAAACCACCTAATTTACCTTCAGCGAGAGGCGAGCGGCGAGCAGCCAGCGCGCTGTGTTGTAACACGTCAGATAGCTATCGGCCGCCTTGGGTTTTTGCGCGTTTACCTGCCGCCAGTACTCGTTAGCCTTGTATACTCATATCACTGAGTTTTGTTTAACATAAACAACAAGTAAACACTTTTTATAAGTTATGGCGGTTGCTCGTCGTTGCCCCGTGCTAGCCGCGCTCTCGCCGACGCGAGGTGTCGAAAATCGACGCCGGCAGCCGCGGCGGCAGCGAGTGCTGCAATCCACAGTATCGCTATTAAGGAAATCGATTTGACCATAATGTTATTTTCATCATAAGGCAATCAATTTTCAAAAATTATTTCACCGACCTTGGCATTTCTCGAAACCGGAGCAAAGCGGCGTAAACACAATTAGGTAATAATTTTTACTTTCCAAACGAGTGAAGGTTGACCGGCTCGCGGCGGCCGGCGGTCAGCGCTGCGCCATTTATAAATATAACTTTACTACTGCTATGTATAAAGCACCCTTTTTCTTTGAATGTGTATCGATTAATTATGCACTTTGTAAACAGATAAGTAAGAATCGGAACGTCAAGATAATTGAGACAGCAGAGGAGTGAAGAAAATAAAAGACGATGAGGACAGCGGTGTACCTAGTAGCGCTCTGCGTAGCATTGAGCGCAGCCGCCCCCGCGCCTGAGCCGGCCCCTGCGGCAGACCCCGCGCCCAATCCCGCACCTAACCCCGCGCCCTCCGCCGATGATAAGCCAGAAATCATTGAAATCATTGCCCCAGCTGCCAGCGCACAGGTAACCAATGCTATTTATTATCTATACTTAATATTACGCCGGTGTCGCAGTAAATGAGTTGCACACAAGCCGCAAGCCGGCAGCGACCGGTGACCGGTATATATTCAGCACTGAACGTCTTGTGGAACCGGACTTGGCGCTGACATAATTATTGGCTGCAAGTTACACACAAACAAGTACGAGTTACCTACAACACACACATTTCCTTACAAATAACAATGGAAGTAAATATTCAATATATTTACCTATATTTTTCCAGTCGCCGGTTCTTAGTTATAATTAACTTGCTAAAGTTAATCTAAGTCAGGAGAGAAATCACTATTTATAGAATACCTTCACAATAGCAATTTAGCAATACCATATAAATTAGCCAGCGTGACTCCCTCCTGGAAGAGCTCTCCGACCGGCCGCCGCATGAAGTACCTACCTACCGCTAGCGCCATCTAACGATACGTGTTTCCAAACAATGGTCCTTCGTCGGTGATGTTATTTCCAGTGTGTTAAAACAAACTAAACATAACAATTATAAATGAGCTGAATGCGATGAATAAATTTTACCAAAAAAAAAGTAACAAAAAATAACTTATGCTTCGTTAAGTCGGTTCACGTGATTCAAGCAATAAAGTTCTGATTATATTAAATTGTCTGATGAAACTTTTTTATAAATTTTTAACTCAACTATAAAAATTAATGTAGACATGGTAAATTATAATAATGAAAAGCCAAAAGTTACGATATTCCCTTGAAATGAAATACTATATGAAATAAAATATAAAAGCGTCCAACAGTGTAGTGTAGTTCCGGGCCACCGCGTACTGTAAGCGGTCGCGTGTCTGCAGATGTAAATTGACTTGGACACAATACGCAGGTAGCTGCGTGCGGCGGAGAGAAGCCGCGTGCTGTGGGAACTTGTCTATCCACTGTTACCTCATTGTTACCACCACTTGTGTACACAGTACAGGAGTCATCAGTCCCAATGTAACTTTAAAATCTAACAATGTAACAAAAATATTTGCGGTTACTATCAAATGCATGAACCTCTGCTATCGTACACACTCTACAACTTCACTAACAAAAACTGTGTTATTGTTTTGCAATAACTACTATACATAGGAATCCTACTATTTATCCTATAGAGGAGTTGTTAAATGACTGAATGATAAATGTTTGTGCGTCAGGAGACTCTGGCGACGCTGAACCTGGGCGCGCCGGGCTCCGAGCTGAGCGAGCGCAACAAGCGCACTATTGGCATCCTGCGCCAGCTCTTCCCCACGCTCACACAGGTAACCTATCTACGTTCATACTGATCGCATTCAACTATTTTACAATCACTGTTCAATTAAGTTAATCTTCTTGTGAGTTTCCGAGACCAAAATCCCCGTTTAATCTATTTGTTATCAAATATAATGAAAGAATGACAATGTATATGTTATACAGAGAGTTTGTTCTCTGAAACCAACTTTAAGTGAAACAAATAATAATCTTAGGTGTTTTATTCCTTGGCGTCAACGTTGGTTTCGCAGTGTCCTAAGCGCTGCAGCTAATTTCAGGTCCGGGATGACAACGGTTCGGTAAAGAGATATTTAAGGGGCATCGGTTTACTTGTGCCGAGTCGCTTGCAGCGTCGCCTTCCTAAGCGCGATGTATGTTCTAGATAATCGAACAAAAGGTACAGCAGCTCACGAGCGTGGTGCTGCGGACGTTTGGGCCACTGTTCCTGCGCCTTTTCCTAGGAGGAAACCGCAACCAGGGCCGCATGAACGGCGGCACCGTCGACCTCGAGGACGACGACGACGATGACGAAGATGACGTCACCACCACGACCAGCACCACGGAGTCGTCGCGGCGCAAGCGCGCGCTCTTCTTCCTGCCGGTATGAGGTCGCATGTGGTCACCCCCAGCCTGCCCGGGGACGGCAGCGCGGGCGCGCGCAGACCGCTAGCCCTCCACCGCCATCGTCACGTCACCGTCACGTCACGTCACCGTCACGACTCCGCCTCCCATCGCATCGCCGCCGCCATCACATGTTCATCGCCCCCTCGCGCTTACCGGCAACTGACTTCTACGCCCTCTTGCAGAATTCGGTCGCCGAAGACAACCTACTGTCCGGCGCGGAGTCGCAGCAAGCTGAGGTGCGCGTGGCCTTCGGGGAGGGCTCCGAACAACAGACCGCCGACGATCAGCAGACCGCCGCGCAGACCAACGCCGCCTCCATTGACGAGATCACGCTGGAGGACGCCGACGACAACGAGGAAAACAGGAACAAGAGGTATTTTGTTTTGTATAATATATACATATATTCACAACCGTCAATAGCCTAATGGTCAAGGGTACGGATTTCCGATCACGAGGTCGGGGGTTCGAATCCCGCCATTCCACCATTGTCGTAAACCATATCCTAGCATAAGACAAGAGCTTAGTTGGAATGGTAAAAGAAGTATTAGTATAATTTACATAAGAATCTGCTTAATTGAATTAGTAAAAAGTAAGACTACACCATACTTTGAATGCAAACTATACCAAAAAAACAAAACAAATGAAAAAATAATAAAATAAAATAATATTGCATCAAGAGATCAGATGACTAGTAGAAAGAGTATCAACTAAAGTAATAACATTCAATATTAAGCAAAAGAGTTGAGCGCAGAGTGTAAGTGCGCAGAGTGAGGACAAGGCGTGTACTTCTGTTGAAGTTTAGGTAAAGGACATGACGTTAACAACATTTGTTTTCAACACTATCCTCCTGTTACTTTCAGGTTCCTGAACTTCGGAGACTCGTCGGGCTCGTCCGGCGGCGGATCCGGAAACTTCTTGTTTGATATTGTGCGAGTATGTATCTATTTATGTATGTCTTCCCTGTATCTACAATAAATCAGGGTAAAAACTAATGTGGCGTGATGTGTGTAAAGTTACAACTCGTCAAACAATAGCGACGTGTCCGAGCGACAGTCCGCTCTGCTTCGAGTGAGGCGGTAGATAAAAATCGAGTGAACGAGGGCTTAAGGTTGCCATCTCGTGCTATCGTGAGAGACGCGTCGTGCGAATGAGGAGGTATGATGTTACAGCAGCCGGCCGAGGCGGTGGCGCGCGCTGCGGGCTCCGCCTTCCGCCTGTTCGCGGGCACCGACTCGCTCAACGTGGGCTTCACGGCGTCACACTCTGCCACGCTGGACCCCAACGACCCACAAGTACACAGCTCGCCACTCGCCGCTCTCTCGTAGTTAGCAGTACCAACGGCTCGCGAGTCTCGCCGCTCCGCTTGGCGCTAGTGTCGTCTCGTGTCGTAGATGTTGTGTCCTCGTGTACCCGGCTTTCCTTGTGTCCCATCCTTTGTCGTGTATTTTTGCTCACATTTGACTTAGCGTAATTTTATTTTATGTATTGTGCATGTTTGTAATCTTATATGTATAATTTTAGTCAAACTAACTGAAGAAGTATTGTTATTTAGCAGCTAATTTAGACTAACATAGTAGGTACTTGCAGAGGTATAAGAAAGCAAATTACTAACTTTGTCGATACATTTGCAACATGAAAGTAATGAAGAGGCGTACGTAGAGACGTCATCGTAACATGTAGAAGCGATGCTGAGCAGCGCAGCACCGGTAGCGTAGAGCAGCAGTAGCGTGTGTGTTTGTATGCGAGCGCCGGGTGTAATGTGCGTGTATGCGTGTTGCAGCTGGTGGCGGGCTCCTCGTCGGGCTCGGCGGGCGGCGAGGCGGGCGAGGGCGCCGAGGCAGGCAAGGGCGACAACCTGACCGAGGGCGTGCCCGGCCCCATCACTCGCCTCTTCATCATCGCCAACCGCGGCATCGCCAACCTCATCCAGGACCTGATCCTCCGCATCGCGCAGACGTCCGAGAGGATAGTCAACTTCAAGGCGCGGCTCATCACCTCCATCATCTAATGCGCGAGCGCTTAGATCAATAGCGGAGGGTCCGCCGCGCCGCAGCGTCGGCCCCGCGCCCTCGCCGCGGCTCCGGCGGACTGCCCGACCCGCCCCGCGCCCCGGTCTCAATTTGCTCGTCTCTCTTTCAAATTGGGCTCGAGGCTCGAGGTCGGACAGCGGTCGCGGCCGCCATCTAAGCGGCCGAACACTTTCGTCACTCGACTGGCCACGATAGACTGTGTGTCCGTTTGCGTGACTCGAGCCCTCGCTCCGAGCACGATGTGGCTCGCGGTGGCGGCGAGACGTCTTCGTGGCCCTCGGGTGGACAGTGGTCGGCGGCGGCGCGCCCGCGACCGCAACTCTCCTAGTTAGTGTTATGTTGACGATGTTAGCAGTTAGGAGGCGGCGGCGCCGCGCTCGCTCAAACTTTTTTATTTGTGTCGTTTTTTATTCGTCTTTACGTTTGTAAATATGTATTATAGCGGAATTTGTGTATAATAAACGGATAGTGCCTAGTTACATCGTCTTTGCTTTTCAATTCCTCAATATTTCATTGACGTCTCGAACATATCAAAACGCGCCATCTCTATATTATATCATTTATATTATGCAAAAAACTATTTTCTTAATTTATTCATTTGGAAAAAAATTGTTGAAATCATAATGTTGGCAAACATCTTAAGTCCTAATGTAAAGTTAGATCTTAAGCATTTGAGTATAATGTGCACGATTAAATGCGACATTTATTTATATATTGATTTATTTTATTTTTATCATAATAAAAAATGTACCTCCCTGCCTCCCTGCGAGCTGACCACTCTCAAAGACAAGTGGCGGCGGACTCTCCGCGTCCACAAACATAATATCCTATTGAATTATTGATACATGCAACAAAGTCAATCATTTTTAACATTTATAATGAGCTAAATGTAATTAAAATCCAGTCTGTTTATTGTGTGTTTACTGATAATCAAACAAAACAATTACAAGTATATTAAGAGTAATTAATTAAGAAAGAATCGACGAGCTTAGCGACACATCCCACGTAGCAGCGGCGGCGAGACTGCGGGCGGGGCGAGCGGGCCGGGCGGGGCGGCAAGCGGGCTCCGCCCCCGTAAGCGCAGGCCCCGCCCTCGGCCCCGGCCGCCGGCGCGCGCCGAGAGCGCGGCCTGGAGTGCGGCATCTGTCCGCGCAGAGCACGCACAGCTTGGAAACAACGCATTTAGCACGTCTTCAAAACCCTCCTCGATCTTTCTCTCGTTGCTCCTCCTTTTTTGTTTACCTTTTATATTAGGTCATATACACTATGATAATTTAAACTTAAACATTTTCCTTTGAAATAAAAACTATTAATAAATTACATCGCGTTAAATTGTATCGAATTGTTTACAAGAGTTGAGATGTCATGTCATGTCATGTGTTATGACTTGTCGTAAAGACATTTACGAGTTTTTTTTAGACTCGATAGGCTGCAAAAATAATAGAGACTTCGCAGAAGGTAAAACAGATCCGATTTCAATTTTTATTTGTAATGAAATAGTCGAGGAAATGTTAAATATTTAAATAACATTTAGCGGTGAGTATCAGGCGTGCAAATAATAAAACACAGCACATATTATAATAATTTAATAAGTAATATATTAGTTTCCCCGGGTAACACTTCGATTAGTTCACAATATCACTGGAAACTTGAACTTAACATCTGTTAGAAACAGGTTTTACGAGTCATTAAATGAGCGTAAGCGATACATATAAAACTTATTTGGCTGCGTGGTTCGAAC